TCGGCTCAGCGCGCTAGTCTGGATGCTCCACGGTCGACATCAAAGGCATTTGTCGCCCGCCCCGTTATGCCTTGTGGGATGAGGTTTACTGGGGCGGTCAACAAATGCCTTTGATGTCAACCATGGAGCGTCCAGACTAGTGCGCTGAGCCGACAAACAGCTGATCGGCTCAGCGCGGCAGCCATTTTAATTTAAATGAAGCAGCGATTATTTAAATCACCGCTTCATTTGGGTATGTCTAGTAAACTACAGGCAGTCCCCGGGTTACATGGATCCGACTTACATTGGATCCCTACTTACAAATTGGGTGAGGCAACCCCACACTAGCTGCTTCCCCCCAGCAGACTAGGGAGACCCGAAGCTAGCGCCCCCCTCGGCACACCAGGGAGACGCGGAACGGCTTTTCTCAGCAGACACCTCAGCTTGAGAATAAAGGACTGAGGGAAGTGAGGTGTGGGAGAATAAAACTGAACTCTGGAGAAATGTTTGGCTAGAGTTTCCCCTACAATATGTACCAGTTCCGACTTACATACAAATTCAACTTAAGAACAAACCTACAGTCCTTATTTCGTACGTAACCCAGGGACTGCCTGTAATCTACATCGCTCTGGCGACAGAGCCATGTAGTCTAGACATACCCTAGGTTACCCACATCACCAGTAGAGATTTTTGTTGTAGGAAAGTATGGAGAGCTGCTGTCTCATCTTCTAAAAACATCAGGATCCTGACTCTGCTATTTTGCCTCTATACCAACCGATCCATTGATTAGACTGAAAGCAGTGATAGAACTGTTCTTCATTTTGTGATACCATACAATGCCATACACATTGTCAGTTCTAAAAACATTATATGGGAAATTATTATTGTTAAAATCCCCTTCTGATGTGTTTTAATAAATACATTTTGATAAAATAATAATTTTACAATTGTCATACATGTGATCATTGAAACATTTCTTAATGGGCAATGTCGGGAAAATTTAAATTTTCCCTGGTAATAACAGTCCATAATACTTATTACAGAATATAAAAAAATGTCTCTTTCAGAACTTAGCAAGCAATTGTCAAGCAGCACATTGAAAATTAAGTAGTAGCGCAACAAACTGCATCTGTAAGATGCTTAGCTTTTAAGGGCAGTTACTGGTCAAAATTAATCCTCAGTGTAAATGTATTGACTCCACTGGAGTTATCACCTGGGATAAACTCATCCCATTCTCTTTTGGATATCTTTTTAATTTTCCCTTTTGTAAAAAGAATACAAGAAAAGCACTTTCCAGGGAGTGACTGTGAGCATGGAGATGTGGGGTTTAATGCCACGCATGGTCAATGAAGGAGCTGTAAATGTAATGACCTTGTAGTTTCATCATTTACACCCCCATGCAACTCTGATGAGATCAGTGAAGGTCATAGCAAGGAATGGAATTTGGTTCATGTGTAATTTAGCCCTATATTTTACTCCCTATTTTGGTTACAATCAGAGTAGGTAAAAGCCCCCCTAAAGAGTGCTCTGAGTTATAGTAGCTATAGCTCCAAATTGGCCTTATCTCACTCTTCCACTAATGTAAAAGGAGCTGTTGCAAACCTGTGCAAGACTCAGTTGCACTAGTTTAAGATCCCTTGAAGCCTTTATAGCGGTACTGAGGGAAGGGCCAAAGGGTCATCTGACTCTGGCCTTATCCTTTGAAAACATATGATTCTAGCCACCATGTGACACAGGATACTAGATTAGATGGACTGTGGGTCTGAAATATGGCAATTTCTATGTTCTTATTCAGACTAAACTGACATGATTTTAAATAGTTGAAGAAATGTGTACACCTCTACAAACCGTGACTCTCTGGTACAGCAACATGGACTACAGGTGTTCCAAGAACAGAGCGTCCCAGCATGTTACAGACGTGGTGGTGAGCTGGGCTGTGGATGGGGGGACTGAGAGCCAGCATGTGGCTTAGCTGGGCTGCTGAGGGGGGAGGCTAGGTGCCAGGAAGTTTCTGCGCTGAAGGGGGAAGGAGGCAGGAAGCCTGGTGCGCAGCTCAGCTGGGCTGAGGAGGGGGAGCCGGGAAGCCCAGTGGGGCAGCAGAGCAGCAGGAGGGGTGGGGGGAAGGGATCAGGAGGCCAGAAATGATCTTCCCGGAAATGACAAAATCCTCATCTGGGACCAATTAGGCCCCAAAGAAGCCAGTCCAGGGAGGCCCAACCTGTACTGAAGGAGTAAGTTACAGATGCAGAGTAAATACATTTTCATAATCTACTATATTTTGATTAGACTGTAGGTGTGTCTACACTCCAACCATAGCTCGAAATAAGCTACGTAATTTGAGCTACATAAATTGCGTTGCTTATTTTGAATGTTTCAAAATAGCTTATTTTGAAATTTGGCACTGTCTAAACAGTGGCTTACCAGGACATCAGAATAGTGAGCCTGTTATTTTGAAAGCTATTTTGAAAGCATCCCATCTTCTGATAGTAGCCAAGACCGCCTGTAACTGGCAGATGATTTTTGGAGCACCTCTCAGATGATATGGGTAAGTAGTTTTGAGTTATAAAACCAAGTGAAGAGGTTATTTTATATTTTCAGAATTTTCTACCTTTTTATTTAAAATATGTTTTTTTCCTAGACTTTTCAAATATATTTGGAAAAAAATCATCAAAATTTACTACTGGGTATTAATTTTAAAACAATTTTTAACAAGTATATTTTGCAAATCTATTCATTTGCACATTAGAAATATCTAGAACACTCAAAAGAATGCCTGCTGGATTCATATGCATAAAATGTGTTTTCCCTAGACTCCATCAGCATTCTAGCTCCATCACACATTCACATGTAGTGTTAAAATAAAGAGAAGCTGAAGTGTTTGGAAGGATAAAATGCATAATTAAGACATCTCAAAAAACTCAAAATCTGCCCCCCATTGCAGTGTCCTAAGGAGGAAAAAAATAGATCTGAAAAGAGAAGAAGATTTCTTGTATCTTTTCTGTCATTTGTGCATCCTTCCCGCCAGACAGCACTGGGCACAATTGAGAGGTAGGACTTGTTTACATGGTAGGATAATGCACACTATGTAAGTTGCATACTACTGTAGTTGGTTCACGTAGGCCCTGCAGGAGCACATTAAGGTTATGTCTACACTACCAGGTTATTTCAAAATAAGTTATTTTGTAATAATAACTCCTGAAATAACTATTTTGAAATAAGCTTATTCCTCTTCACAAGCAGGATTTATTATTTCAAAATAACAAGCCCATTACAGGCTTGGTAGTGTGGACACTCGCCTTGTTATTTCAAAAGAAATGCCCGAAGGTGTTGTCTCCACTACAGCTGGGATTGACACTGTAGAAACCGATCCACCAAGGGTCAATTTAGTGGGTGTAATTGAATCTTGAACATCAACTCTTAGTATTCCACTGGAATGAGATGAGAAAGGGGAGTTAATATGAGAGTTTCTACAGGGTGAGCTAATGAGCATTACAAGGATTAAAAAGAGTTTCTCCTGTTGACTGAGCGCAGTGTGGGCCACGCGGTAAGCAGGTTTAAGTTCTATCAACTTCAGTTATGCTACTAATGTAACTCAAATTGTGTACCTTAGGTTGATTTGAACCCATCGTGTAGACCTGCCTGAAGGTTCCCTAATGCACTTTTAATATAGTACTATTTTGCTATGTTAAAGAGCACTATGGGACCTCTTATATCATCATCAGGGTCTACATGGTGCAAATGTGAAGCTCATTATTGTGCTTTAGAAATCACACCCTCGTAATGCTCATTAGCCCACCCTGTACACAAGCCCATAGTGTAACCAGCATTGGTGGACTGGATTATACAGGAAGCTAATGCAATGAACTGATTCACAGATCTGAAGACAGTGTAAAGTTATAGGGAAATATTAATGAATTAAAAATACATCATAAGTAATTCCAGTAATGGAAACTTTGAACTCTCTAAATTTTAGTTCAAGAAGCTTTAAAAATCCCATTGCAGAGATGGAGTTCTCTCTTCATTTAGGTAAATTCATCCATCTGTTGTTATCACTGTTTTCAGGGCTCTTGTTTTATTTATTAGTTTGTTTGTTTGCTTATGCATTTATCTATTTTCCATTTTGGATTATATTTATTTCTGGCCTGAGGATTTTTCACTTGTCACACATTTAAAACACAAACTTTTAGATTATCTAGGCGGGACATGATGGTATCTAATTTACTGTTTGGTTTTTTGCTGAGTACTCAAAAGTCTCCACCAATAACTTCAGGAAGTAACAGGAAAAATGAGATTTATAAAATAGCCAAGAATGTCAGATCTAGTATTAACTTTTTATATAACTTTTATCTTTATTCACTGCAGAATTCCAGAAGCTTTAAAAATCATCTTCATGATACATTGTTTTATTGGAATATTTTAACAAATAGAAATTGTAAAAAGATAAGAATACATTTCAGTGAAAATGAAATGCTATCTCAACCTACTGATAAGAGAGAGGTAGAGTTTTCCTCAACATGTCACCCGTAGAGCTAGAATTGCTTTTATCAGACAAGATGCTTTTATTACTTGCTCAACACTCTGTTCTCTCCGCAATGACCATGTTTTTTTTGGCAGACATCTAACTGCTTCTTTTTTTAAGAAGCAAAGAAAACAACACTTGGGGAGGTAAAATACTTGCTGTGTTATAACCAATCAGGTCTGTTTTTCCACTGCTTTTAAGCTTATTTTCTCTTGCCCATTGAGAGCACAATGAACACAGGCCAATAAAATCCACACGCGTGTTATTAGAAGGATTCTTATCATCTATATTATGTGAATGAGATTAGCAGTCTGAAGTTCAAATATCGTCCTCTGGGGTTTAAGTATATAGCACATTACTTTGTTCCAGGACTATAATAATTAGCTTTTGATGTTAATTTATATGGGTAATGAATTAATATTCTATGTTTCTGACCAACCAGACCCTTCTGTTCTTGAGCATTCCTTAACAACTAACTTTTCATTGCCCACTTGTCTCTTAGCTACCTGATTTTAATGCAGAGAAAAGAGCTGGACCTTGGACAGGGTGATCTTGATGTGGGGAGCAGGAGGGTTGAATGGTGAGAATAAAAATAGTATATCATGTAATTAAAGACTTTCATAATGCATGCATTTAAGGGGTCCTAAGTAACAATCCACAGGCAACTGTAAACCTGGCATATCCTAACTGCTATAGAGCATCCGGTGGACACACCATATAGAAGAGAATGTCTTCAACCAACATAGTGCTGTCCAGACCAGTGCTTAGATTGGTGTAATTTACATTGCTCGGGGGGTTCACTTATTTACACCCCACAGTGGCATACTAACATAAGTTGAAGTGTGCACTAGCACTCAGTCTTCACTAGACTTGCTCTTGTGTCATCACTGAACTCTTGCTCTCTATTAGCCTCCCATACTGACCTGGCATTTAAGGCTATGTCTACACTTTAGAATTTTTTTGGAAAAGCGTCCATTTTTCAAAAAAACCCTTCAGTTATGTCCACATTGCAATCACATTGTTTTGACAAAAAATCGAAAGAACAGAGGGTTTTTTCCGACATTGGTAAACCACTTTCTATGAGGAAGAAGCCTTTTTCCGAAAGAGCTCTTTCGGAAAAATGGTGTAAGTGGACGGGGAAAAAGAAGTTCTTTTGAAAGAAGAGGAAAGGGAAAAAAGCACTGGTGCCCCAGTGGCCACTCCGTCCATAGTAATCACAGTTTAAATGCAATATAGCATCCATTCAGTGTGGACACTATCTTTCGAAAAAGCAGATTGCTTTTTCGATGCACTTTTGCTGTGTGGACGCTCTCTTTCGAAAGAAGTTTTTTTGGAAGATCTATTCTGGAAAAGCTTCTTCTGAAAGAAGCCTGTAGTCTATACATAGCCTAACTTGGCAACTCTCTAGGGGTATGTCTACACTACCACCCTAGTTTGAACTAGGGTGGTAAGGTAGTCAACCGGAGTTGCAAATGAAGCCCGGGAATTTCAAATCCCGGGCTTCATTTGCAACTCCAGTGACTACATTACCACCCTAGTTCGAACTAGGGTGGTAATGTAGTCAACCGGAGTTGCAAATGAAGCCCGGGAATTTCAAATCCCGGGCTTCATTTGCAACTCCAGTGACTACATTACCACCCTAGTTCGAACTAGGGTGGTAATGTAGTCAACCGGAGTTGCAAATGAAGCCCGGGAATTTCAAATCCCGGGCTTCATTTGCAACTCCAGTGACTACATTACCACCCTAGTTCGAACTAGGGTGGTAGTGTAGACATACCCTAGGTTCTCGGTGAAATTTAGTTCTACAGCATATTACCACATCTGCCCAAGTACATCACAGAAATTGCAAAATGTAAAAAATCATAAATTTAAAAAAAAGCCATAAATAACTGCAGCTTTAGCCATACCCAAATTGTACAAACTAATGTACAGCATTTGGAAATCTAGAGCAATATTTTGAGTAGTAGTATTTGGGGATTTTTTTTTTTTTTAGATTGTGTGGCAAACCCTACTGTTATGTGCCCTCTAGATAAACAAGTACAACAATATCTGTCTTTCATCTGAAAATAATTAAACTGTACAAATGTGGACCGTATTTCTGTCAGTACTGCTTTTGATTATGGCTGTATACCATCTGGTGTGTGGGATTAGCAGCACTAAATAATTTGTCATAGATTGTGCAAATTATCATCTTTATTTTTGTGTTTGTGATTTTCATGTTTACAAATAGATCGTCATGGAATGGTGTCTGCCTGGACCAAAAACAATAACAAAACATGCAAAGATCCCCTTTGAAAAAAATTAAAAGTGATAAATACCATTCACTATGTGTGGGTTTAACTAAAACATTTTCCTTTAACTCTTTTTCATTTGTATGGGAAAAGTCTAATCTGAACCCTGATCAATATCATTAACAGTATAGTTCATTATAAGTTTCAGATACTGGATCCCCTTCTGCAATGAATTCTGAATCGGTGCCTTAATGGGTCTGCATGGTTCTAGGGGTCTTCCTTCACAGTGCTCTTTACCAGATTGGGCACATAGCCATAGACAGAGGTGCTCGTTCATTCCACATTGTGTAGCTACATTAAATGATTCTATGTGGCATTTCATTCCATATCTAATTTTTGAAAGTAGCTTCATAAACATTCATAGCCCAAGAAACCTCTGCCCAGACATCCTGTCTGAAAAATCCTAATTGAGAGGACTTTTCTGAATAGTGAAATGATTGATCTCTCTAGACTTAATTCATTCAGCCTTACATCCAAGCACTATGCCACTTGTGATAGCTCTCAATTTAAAGATTATCCAAATTCAGAAGAGACCCACCAGAATGAAGAAACAAGATGGAGCAAAGAGAGAGGATCGTACCTCTTTGACAGAGTTTGGCCCAGTAATGAAAATGGAAGCCCTAGAACCTCTATGGGATTATTGATCATTACATGTGAAACAACCCGAGTGCCTCTAATGGCTGGGGAAAGCCAATGCAGAGCACCTAGGTCCACTACTGACACAGATCGTTTACACCTTCTTTGGATAAAAACAATCTTCCAGCCAGCTTTAAGTATGCCATAACCAGCCAGTCCAATCAGAATTCACCAGTGTCTTACTAACTACTGCCTTACAATTAACCTTTACTTCATAGGAAAAATCACAGAGAAAGGTGGAGTGAACAAACACCAAAATCTTTGCTGCAGGGAAATGTCCAGTACCCTTCACAGTCAGGTTGCAGAATAAGAAGTGATGCAGAGATTGCTCTGGTGTCATTGATGGATGATCTCCTTATGTCCATGGACAGAAGACAGATGGCTTTGCAAAGTCTTTCAGTGTCTGCACTAGTACTTGGGAACACCTTCCAATTTACTGGAGCAAAAAGCCGAGAAGAATCCAACCCTTCATTTTTCTCAACTGCTGTATGATTTGTTTAGCTCAATATTTGTCCTTTCAAAAAACCAGAAGTGATTAGGTGTACGTAACAGGAACGCTGCCTAGCTCTTATATAGCAATTTCCATCCAGGGATCTCAAAGTGCTTTATAAAGATGGGTTCATGTCATTGTTTTCATTCTACAGATGAGGAAACTGAAGCACAAAGAAATTAAATGTCTTACTTATGGTCACACTGCACATCAGCCATAGAGCCAGCAACAGAAACTCAATTTCCTGTTTCCCAGTCCAGTTCTGCTGTATCCACAAGGCAGCACTGCCTCTCTTTCCCATTCTTATCTTTCTGGGACAATGAAATGGCCTCAAGTAATTTCAAATGTGTTCAAAGATGAGAACTCCAGCAAGTCACCACTTGAATATAGCTTGCGTAAGAATGACACCCCTTATAACTTGGCTTGGTTTGCAGTGGTATCTCCCTTGTGGAGTAGGTAAAAGGGACTTAGCTCAGTCTTTTAAACTAGTGGTTCACAGCCAGAGTATGCATACCCCTGGGTTTAGGCAGAAGTCTTTCAGGGGATATAATCACTCATTTAGATATTGCAAAATCAGTACAAACTAAAATTTCATTCAGTGATTTGTTTATACTGCTATATATGCTATACAGTGAAATGTAAGTATAATATGTATTTTCCAGTTGGTTTATTTTACAATTATATGATAAAATGAAGACGTAAAGAGATTTTCAGTAGTAGTGTGCTGTGATGCTTTTGTATTTTTATGTCTGGTTTTGCAAGCAAGTATTTTTAAAATTAGGTGATATTTGGGGTTATGAAGTACAGTAATCTGGAAAGGTTGAGCCCACTGTTTTAAACCAACTTGACGCAGAGCCCAACAGAGGAGCTTCTCTTTAATGCAAGGGTAATCAGTTTTTGAGACAGCTTACCTTCCTTTTTCAATATCTAGCAATGAAATATTAATTTGTCATTAGTTTCCCAACTTTAAAACTAGTATTTCCTATCAGCAAAGTTGTCTCCCTAGAACAAACTTCCAGAAATATAGATATGCACAGATATGGTGATCAAATGCCCAAGGAAATAAATGAAAAACATCTTATTTATCTCAACGGACTTATCACCCTTCCTGTTAAAAATTTGAACCATATTTCTAAATTGAATGTGGCTGGCTTTAACTTCCAGTTCTTGTTCTTATTATCTTCGTAGAATAAACCTGAGAGATGGACCATGGAATATGGAGAAAGCATAAAGAACCCAAACATAATTCTGAATTTATTCTTTGCAGAAGACCAAAGACAATGAAAAAAAGGCATGTTCCTTCTGTCAGTCATTCCCATATTTGTTTTTTTACTGAGTTATCTCTAGCTGGGAATTTAGTATCTATCTCTTTTGTTATAAGTTAGAAAGAACTCTTTGTAGAATAAACAATAATAGCGAATAATAATAAATTTCTGTTTTGTGATAGATTAAAATATTTTATGCTATCTCTGATGAAATTTCTTTAAAAATATCGATTCAGGCACAGATTCTTTTAGAAAAATCCAAACATTCAGGCCTGGAGAATACTTTCATTCTGAAATTATATATATTTTTAATATGTCTAATATGCATATAATTTAACTTAGTGAACACCAGAATACTAGATTGCTTTCTTTCAGAAAGAAGTGTAATCCAGGGATTTTCTACTTTCATCATTTGTGTAATTAGAAAAAGGCTATGGCTGATGTCACTGTATTAATCTTCAACAAATTGGAGCATTTGATCACCTGCTGACAGTGAAGCCCAAAAGATTCTAGGGCACATTTTAGTTAATCCATGATTAAAAACATGATTACAGGCAGTCCCCGGGTTACATGGATCCGACTTACATCGGATCCCTACTTACAAACGGGGTGAGGCAACCCCGCACTAGCTGCTTCCCCCCAGCAGACCAGGGAAACGCGAAGCTAACGCCCCCCCCCCTCACCCCAGCAGACTAGGGAGACGCGGAGCGGCTTTTCTAAGCAGACACCTCAGCTTGAGAATAAAGGACTGAGGGAAGTGAGAATAAAACTGAGCTCTAGAGAAATGTTTGGCTAGAGTTTCCCCTACAATATGTACCAGTTCCGATTTACATACAAATTCAACTTAAGAACAAACCTACAGTCCCTATCTTGTACGTAACCCGGGGACTGCCTGTAATTTGTCTTTTTACAACATTACTACAAAACTGCAAATGAAATTGAACATACTGTTTCCAGACATTTCTATTAAGTCATTTTATATATAAAATAAAAGTTTTAATGGAAATAGGTGGTTTAATGGATTAAATTTAACATTTGTAAAAAAAAGATATCTAAATCTATACTTGCATGAAAAGAAAAAAATCATTGTAGATAATGTCCACTTTTTTATCTGAATGGCAATGAGGATTATTGATTTAAATTAAAGTGATTTAAATTTCCAATTTAATCAAGATGTAATCATGATTTAAAGTAGCAATCAGAAAAACTTTGGTTTAAATAATTAGTTTCAATTTTGTTTTGTAATTGGAATTAAACTAAAAATTCACAAAACCAGACTATAAAATTGTGGTTAATTAGTGAAAATAAACTGCTATAAATGGGCTGAATACATAGGTGAAAAAAAAGGTAAATTAATCACCATGTTTTGCATTTAAAACTCATTTTTTAAACAAAGAAAATATTATCAATACCTAGGGAACTGAATGATTATTTCTAGCTGCCATGTCCTTCAAGGTTTTAGAACTAATAGATCTCATTCTCTCCCACTTGATTTTTATTCACAGATTGGAAGAGAAAAAACAAGATTTCTTCCTTTTTTCAGCTTCCATTTGGTATCTCAGATTTAAATGAATTAGTTCAAAAGAAGAAAATATTCTCTCTTCACCTCCAAAAAAGGTGACAGTCAAAAGCTGATTTAGCACTTCAGCAAACTGGCTCCAGGAACGTAGTCAATTACTTCTACCATTTTAGTGTTTTGACCTTGTTTAAAATTTTGACAGCAAATAAGTAGTACTTGAATGTTTTATCTCTAGCCCTGAAATATATTATGATTGATATGATAAGGGATACTTATTAAATACCCATATCAGAGCAGCACCTTCCTTTACTGCAGTTACACAGTTACCCTGTATTTTGTGTTGAGAATATTTGCAAGAAAAGGTGGCAAAATGAGTAGTTTATCCATCTGCTTCTTCTTAAGCCTTTGAGGTTGGGCATTTCTTTTCTGCGGTATTTCTTAAAGATTTTTCCAAATTTCAAAAGCATTAACAATAGAACGGCTATCTTTCTGTAATTTTTCCAAAGATTTGGAAATGTGTTTCAGTGTCTTTAGCATATCCTCCACAACTCTTTAGTTTGATGTTGACTAGTGTGGCTTTAGTAGTTCCATCTGTATTTTGTCATGTAAGAGTTATATGTTAAGACTCCATTCCCCAAGTATTTCAGGAGGATGTTAAATAGCACAGCTACTAAAATAGATATTTATAAATCAGCACCAAAAGATTTTTAAAAGAGTTGCCCAAGGAGCTCACTGGCCTAGTAATGTTTTTCAACCAGCATTGGAACATCAGGGAAGTTCCAGAAGACTGGAAGAATGCTAATGTGCCAATAGTTAAAAATGGGTCTATGGGACAACCTGGGTAATAATGCTCTTGTCAGCGTGATATAAAGTCTGTGTAAAATAATGGAGTGGCTGATATGAGACTTGTCTAATAAAGAACTAAAGAAGGTTAATATAATTATTGCCAATCAATATAGGTTTATTGAGAATAGACCCTTGTCAAACTAACTTATTTTGTAATGAGATTACAAATTTGGATACTTAGATTTCTATAAAGGATTTGATTTGGTCTCAGATGATATTTTGATTAAAAAACTGAAAAGCTATATAATTAACCTGGCACACATTAAGCACATTAAAACCTAGCTAATTCATAGGTCTCAAAAATGTAATTGTAAATGGGTGTGTTTCTACTGGATACCACAGAGATTGGATGTTGGGCCTATGCTATTTAACATTTTTATCAGTGATATGGGGGGGACCAAAAATCATCACTGATAAAGTCTGCAGATGACACAAAAATTGGGGGAATTGTAAATAATGAAGAGGACAGGTTGCTGATACAGGGTATGTCTACACTACAGAGTTTTTTTCGGAAAAACGGCCATTTTTCTGAAAAAAACTTCTGTTGCATCCACACTGCAATCACGTTCTTTCAAAAGAAAATCAAAAGAACAGAGGGGTTTTTCTGAAATTAGTAAACCTCTTTCTACGAGGAAGAAGCCTTTCTCTGAAATATCTTTTTTGGAAAAAGGTTTGTGTGGATAGGGAAGAGGGAGTTCTTTTGCAAGAAGAGGAAAGAGGAAAAAGCACAGGTGCCCTGGTGGCTATTCCACCCATAGTAATTACAGCTTACATGCGAGATAGTGTCCATTCAGTCTGGATGTTATCTTTCATAAAAGCAGATTGCTTTTTCAATGCGTTTTGGCAGTGTGGACATTCTCTTTCGGAAGTAATTTTTTCGGAAGATCTCTTCTGATAAAGCTTCTTCTGAAAGAAGCCTGCAGTCTAGTCATAGCCCCAGAGTAATCTGGATTGCTTGGTAAACTGGGCACAAGAAAACAATCTGAGCATGGTTAAATGTAAATGTATTAATCTAGGAACAATGCATGTATGCCACGCTTACAGGATAAGAGACTGTCCTGGGAAGCAGTGACTCTGAAAAAGATTTGGGAATCATAGTGGATAACCAGCTGAACATAGGCTCCAAGAACAATGTTATGGCCAGTGAAATCTTTGGATGCATGAATAGGAGAATGTTGAGTAGGAGTAGACTGGTCATTTTACCTGTGTTTGACACTTATGCAACATTGCTGGAATATTGTGCCCAGTTCTGGAATTCACAGATCAGGAAGGTTGTTGCTATATTGGAGACAGTTCAGAAAAGAGCTATGAGAATGATTAAAGGATTTGCATGGATTATAGTGATGGATTTACAGAGTTCAATCTGTTTAGTTTACAAAAAGAAGGCTAAGAGGTAACTTGAGTGCAGTCTAAAAATATTTGCAAGGGGAACAACTATTTAATAATGGGCTGTTCACTCGAGCAGAGACAGGTCTAACATGATCTATTTGATGGAAGTTGAAGCTAGGCAAATTTGTACTGGAAATAGGGTATAAAATGTTAACACGTGAGTGTAACCAAAAGTGGTGGTGGGTTCTCAATCACTGACATTTTTTGAACAAAGATTGGATATTTTTTTCTAAAAAATCAGTGTTAGAAATTATTTTTGGGGAAATTCTGTGGCCTTGTTGTATGGGAGATCAGCCTAGTTGATCACAATGGTTTCTTCAGGCTTCAGAACTTATGAATCTAGAAAATACTTATGGTATTTGTGCACATTGTTCATCTCTCAAGATTCAGATTTTTTTTCCTTCAAGGTATTCTACATATTGTTCTATTTCCTTCTCCTATATAGTATCAAGCAACCTACTACAAGTGCATGGAGTGTATCTTGCATGCTCTGTTATGAAATGTTTGCTTTGAATAAGCCCATGCTTTTTGGGGATGATGACAGTTTGTTTTTTGGTTACAGGTAGTGTTCTATAAGATACATGTTTACATACCATGCTGCTGGTATCAACAGTTGCCTCTGAAGTTGCAGATGATGGACATTCACAATCTCTTGTCTAAACTCGACTCTGAAACAAAATAGAAAGACAAGTACTCTCACCCAGTATTATTCAGTACGTTACTTAAAAATAATGGAACTATGAAAGACCTCCCCTCTTGCAGTTAACTTTAATATTGTTTACAAGTGATTGATATATTTTATTCTATAGGCCCAGCCTTTTAGGGAAAACATTTAATAAATCATTAGGTTTCTCTAGATCTAGTTTAACCCCTCTCTTTATCAACATACCACACAAATGAAAAACAAAACAAAACCCTTTCAAACTTTTTAATTTTAAAATTCTGAAATCTCACAATTCTTTTCTTTTCATCTAAGATTTTTTATTATACTGTAAAATAAAATACTATTTTAGAAATCTAGAAGTAGCATTCAGAAGTATAATTAATGAATACTTCTGAATGTAACATGCCAATCATATTTTAAATGCTGAAGGTTTTTGAAATTCATAATCCTCCCCCAAAATATAAGTTTATGACAGGCAAGTTAATTTCTTGGCAATTATCTAAGGTTTGATTTACTAGTATATTTCATAAAAAGACATGCCATATCCATTCCTTAAAATAAAAATAAATTAACCCATTAGTTGATTGAGATTGTTATGATATGTCCACATCATTTTCTAATTCTTTTCTTCTGATGAGCAGTTTTCATAATCTTGTTTTATTCTTGAC